GAGAGGAGAGAGGACACACCCAGACAGTCCTGCTGTGGCCCACAAAGCCCCACAAACCCCATGTAGATATGTCTGCCCATTTCTCCAGCAGAATCTTTTTGTGCTTGTGTGGATGATGCAGTTTTCTGAGTTCTTTTAATATGCCAAGCCTGCATCCATGCAAGGCCCCTACAGGTGCTGTTCAAGCTTCCTAGAGTACTCTTCCCACATCTGTGCCTGCACTCATCCAGCCTCTGCAGAGACTGTTGCTGCTCTTTTTCTTGCTGACTTGGAGTGCTTTGTTCTGGAGCTCAGTCTGTCTGTGCTGAGTTACTCTTTCACAGTATTCTGTACTTTTTCTTCCTAGCACTTGAACTTAACTTGTGTTGATGTCCTTGTTTGTGATTTTTGTGAGTTGTTTGGGTTTTTTGTGGGGTGTGGGTTTTTTTGTTTTGTGTGTTTGGGGTTGTTTGTCTCTTTAGGGAAGTTTTTAGTTCTGCTTTTTCAGACAAGCTGGCCTCAAACTCCCTATTTAGCCAAGACTGACCTTGAACTTGTGTTCCTTGTATCCCTACCTATTCAGTGCTGGGATTACAGGTGTGTGCCATACTTGGTCCCCGTTTATGTGCTGTTGGGTGCCAAACCCAGGGTTGTGTGCATGCTAGGCAAGGACTCTACCAACTGAACTACATCCCTATCCTTATCTTTAAAGCTCTGTGAGATCAAGGGCCATGTGTATTTGTTCACCATTGAATATTGAGAACCAACAAAAAACTGACCACCTAAATAAAAAGTGTTTGATGAATGACAACATGGCCAAAAATAACAAAGAGAATATGTGACATGTGAATAGCCTGGGGAAACAGAAAGGGAATCATTTTGTAGGAAATATGATGAGTTTGATTTGGGATGTGTTGAGTTTTAGGTGGTAACCAGGATTTTAAGTTCAGTATGTTCAAGAATTACTTTGGCAAGATACTCGTGCAGATTTTAGAGTCATCACCGTGAAGTTTTTATTAGAAACAAAAGATCTTTGGTGGAAAGAATGTGCACAGACCAACATTTCCAATCAGAAACAATTGCAGGTGGTTGGAGTTGTCATAATGTGTTTTTTTAAATATGAAAAGGGAAAAATAGAAGTATTGTATATTCCTAATTATATAAAATTTTGTGACTGTAGAAACATTTCCTTATTTGGAACAATAATGATGATTGCAAAGTATTTATAGACTGATATAATTACTTCCCAATCACTTATTGTGAAGAAATGGAATCTTTACTGTTGGGAAACTGAGTATGTTGTAATCATATACACTGTGTTTGAAATCAGAAGAGTTCTTTTTCATAAAGTGGGCTATTTGTGTCTTTTTAAATTGGACAGTGATTGTGTTTTCTATTACTGGACTTTCACAGGGAGGTTAATTACTATCAGTTTAGTTCTACTTACAGACTGTGTTCAGTGCATGGAAGGTAAGAAAGTGTTCAGTCTTCTACAAAGCCGAGAATGTGTCCTAAAGTAAGCTACACATACACTGTTTAGTATGTGGAAATATTTTTATGACCACAGTCATTAAATGACCATTCTGACTTAAGTGCTTATGCATTAATACCTGTCTAGGTCCACTGTTCTGAGGCTAGAATTTGTTTTCACAGTAAGGAAATATTCAAGGCCAGAATCCTTTTCATTGACACAAGATGCAGTATCTCATTGTCCAGCTCAATATTTTGATTTCTCTTTTTTTAATTGATTAGTTTTGTTATTTGATAATTTCACACATGTATAGAATGGATTCTGATTACTGTCTCCTCTCTCTCTCTCTCTCTCTCTCTCTCTCTCTCTCTCTGCCACCTCCCCCATCCCTACTAGTCCCTTTCCTTCTTTCCTATAATCATGACTTTTGGTTTGACTTTGTGACCCATTTAGTTTAACCAGTACCATCTATGGACCATTGGATTAGAACTGTCCATTGGAGCCTTAAGAGGTTATCCGTGGGTAGTCAACTGAAGGCAGTGATTCCCCCCTCTTCCTGAATCTATCTGTAGCAAATAGTTCACAGGAAAAGTTAGGGGCCCTGAGTCCCTCTGTCCATTCTTCCCTATTGATGGGCCTATTCTTTTTTTTTTTTTTTTTTTTTTTTTTTTTTTTTTTTTTTTTTTTACAGGGTCTCCCTGTAGCCCCAGCTGTCCTGGAACTCACTAGGTAGACCAGGCTGCCCTTGAACTCACAGGGATTAAAGGCGTGCACCAACATACCAGGCTTGACCATGCCCGGCTTGATGGGCCTATTCTTATGCAGACCTAATGCAGGTTATCTGCCACTGCTGTGAGTTTTTTATTGCAGTGAGTGTATCTTGCCCAGAAAATTACTTTTTGCAGCTGTTCTTCTCATCCTCTAGGACCTGATTCTTTCTGCCCCCTCTTCTGCAATGTTCCCTGAGCCTTAGTGGGGATGGTAGTATCTTGTTTAGGGCCAAGCAGATGAGTGTTCAGCCAACTCACTTTTAAAGTGATCTCATGAATTAAAAGGCACTGTGTTGACTGGGAGTGGTGGCCTGCACCTTTAATCCCAGCCCTTGGGAAGCAGAGGCAAGTGGCTCTCTGTGAGATTGAGGCCAGCCTGGTCTACAACCACACAGTGACTTCCAGGCAGACTGAGACTAGGGAGACCCTGTCAAAAATCAAAACAAAAAGGCAGTGTGTTTTGGCTGACCAGGTTGCTCAGTGGCTAAAAGTGCCATGCAAGCTTGATGACTAAGTTTGATCCCCAAAACCCACTTAAAATTAGGAGAGAATTGACTCTACAGAGTTGTCCTTTGATGTCCACATGGGTTGTGAGTGCACTTACGCATACAGTTACATAATAATAATTAAGCTTAAAATTCTTTAATAAAAATATGAGACACTAACATTAAAATGTGCATTTTTATTCTTTCATTAAAAAATACCTGAATTGGGCTGGAGAGATGGCTCAGAAGACTTGGGTTCAAATCCCAGCACCCACATAGCAGCTAATACCTGTCCATAACTTCAGTTCCAGGGGATCCGACAGCCTTGTCTGTCCTCCTCGGGCATGCACGACACAGGTGCACTTACCTACATGTAGGCAATACATGCAAACACATTTAAAAAAAAAATCATAATAAATAATTTTAAAAAAATATTCAGAAAGTGTGAAGACAGAAAATATTTCTAGTCAGCCTTGTGGGGCAGGAGCAGTCTGTCATGGCTGAGCACTGAACACTGTGAACATGTACAGAGTGGCACTTCTGATTTGTTTATGCTGAGCTTGCAGAAGGGTAAAATTTCTGTTAAGAATAGGAGCATACATTTATGCAAAGAAAATAGGAACCCCAAGAGAGCCTTATTTTAATATATGAAAGAAATAGTTATAAAATTTTGTTCCTTAGTCTTGAACCGGAATAAATTTAAAGCTTTTTTGTCCATTTTTCTTAACCACAAAATGAATCTCTTTATAGCTGCTTCCCAAAAAGTATCCTCTAGGGGCTGGAGAGATGGCTCAGTGGTAAAGAGCACTGGCTGCTCTTACAGAGAACTTGAGTTTGATTCCCAGACCCACAGGTGGCTAACAACTGTGTGTAACTCTAGTTTCAGAGGATCCAATGACATCTTCTGGCCTCTGTGGGCATTGCATGCCACAAGTACACATACAAACATGCAGACAAAACATTTGTACACAAATAAATAAATAAATAAGTAAATAAAATATTCTCTAAGAACTGAATAGCAGTGTAGTGAATTTTTATTTTATTCCTATAGTTAAACTTTCCTTACATTGTTTCTCTAACCTTCATTGATACTTGGAATGATGAAAATCAAGCATGTGTTGTTAAAGCTCACTTTCTTTCCAAAACATCAGGCTACTTGAGCAGTGAAATCCTTTCTGGCATATATCTATCAAAAGAGCTATGATAACCCAGTGTCAAAGAGCAAATTGGAAAAGTCAGTTGAAATCCTTAGATGTTCTTGGTGCTAGAGTGGATGGGTGGAAACCATCACAGCTCTACAGAGGTAAAATAATGCAACCAGACCTGGCACAGACCTGTGATTCCAACTAGTCAGGAGGCTGAGGCAAACACATTAGCCTGGGCTAAGGAGTGAGTTCAAATGCCCCAGATGACCCAGTGAGACCTTGTCTCTATAAATAAAAGAGGTTGTGGCTGAGTGGTAGAGCACTTATACCTATATACATCGGCCTGAGGTTCAAATGCGAGTAAATAAATAAGTCAATTAATTATTTAAGAGGGGAGAGAGAGAATGACAATATTTGGCTGCCAAAACATTGCCTGTCCTGTAGGGATGTGAACAAAACTGTACACACAGAACATGGCCCTACATTGCTTGCTTACTTCATCCCACATTGCTTTTTAGCTAACTGTTCTCCATCCTGTTACAGAAATGGAAGCTAAATTTAGCAAATTGTTTGACCCTTTATGTTTAGTGCACAAAATTCTTAATTAACACAGTAAAATGCCAGGATCCATTGTAAATCACTCTGCTAAACTTTCAAACTTAATAAAGAATCTTGTCTTGTCCAAAAGTGCCTTTCAGACCCTTGCTGATCTGGCACTCATGCCTGATTCCCTGTGGAGCTGAGCAAAAGAATGTAAAGGAAGCCAATTAAGGAAACTTTGAGCCAGACTAGACAAGCAGAGGCCATCTTGTCCATCCTTCTGCCTCAGGCAAAAACCATCCACTGCAAACACAAATTTCTGCTTGAATCCTGCTGACAAAAGCATTCACCAACCACATGTAAATGACAAGTCATAATCCAGTTATTGCAACTAAAGCAGATTGTTAACTGTTTGAGACTTATATATTGTGTTGTAAAGATGCTGAGTATCAGCCCTCATCTGAATTGTCTTAATTCCTCCTTTCCAGAAAATTATTTTGTGCAACAAATGTACTCCAATAATTGTTGAGATTGGGGAGGTTTATGTCCAGGAAATAAAAGTTTTCTTCATCGTCTTATTAAATGTATTTTTGGTTTCCTTTCACTCTAGGCTTACCTTATGGGTGGGAGGAAGCTTACACAGCAGATGGAATCAAGTACTTCATCAAGTAAGTACAAGCATCTCAACCAAGTAAGCAATTTTCCTCACATCTGGAGAGAACCTGGAAGTTGCAGAATAATCAGCAAAACCAAGAAGCCCTCTTGGAGGTTAGAAAAATTAGAAACAAGAAATGAAGTCTCACCATTTTCATCTCGTGATTTAAATGCTAATATCAGATCACTAGAGGGGAAAACCCTGGTGACAGTTTCAAGGGAAACATCCAAAAACTGGAATAGGATCGTGATTCGAATTTGCATGTTGACTGCTTAAATTCACTTGCTACACAATATTATTAACATTGATGAAAAGTCAATGGCTAATGAAAACTCCATTTTTCATGCCCTAAAAGAATACCAGTTGTAACCATCACCTTTAAATACTTTACAATCTACACAGATCATTCATTTTGCAAAAAACTTGTGGCTGTTTTCTGCTTGCCTGGCAATGTTCCATTAGTGGTGAAATGTGTAGACTGCCTACCTGATGTGATGAAATTCATGTAAGCATAAGAAATGACAGACAGTAAAAAACCTAAGAATAAATAGGACAGTAGATGAAAAGACCTGATCCCAGTGTGTCACAACAACCTTTAGGGTGTGTGTACCACCTCATTATTTTCCTTAATTTGTAGATGAAGAGAGTAGGAGCCTCAAGGCATTGCCAGAAAATGCACAGCTACCGCTTACCAAGTCAGAGCTGGAGTGGAAGGCGTTTTCTCTAAGACCTTTTCTACTATGTAGACTGCAACTCATAGAGACCTTGAATGCTTGAACAGGAGTAGACCCTCTACTGCCAGACTAGAGCATTCAGCCCTGGACAAAGCAGTCTGCTGTGTCCTTGACATCTTCTGAACAGCTCCTTTCATGTCAGAACTGGTGTTATGAGAGTGAGTGCCAAGGAAACCCCTCAGTCCTGACTGAGATCCCCAGAAACTTCCTTGTACATTCTTTCAGCAAATAATGCTTGCTGTGCATTATGGGAGGAAAAGGGGGGTGCCCTTGCTGTCCTTTCAGATGTGCACACACATGCCAAGCAATACGCAGATTTTGTGTTTCTCAGCCCCCTGCCTCGATGCAGGTTCTTATCTCCCAACTTTAGCTTTCTCCTCATGAAGTAAGGGGAGCACTGATGAATTAGAGCATTGCTGGATGTTAAGCACCCACCATACACTTTGAACACAGTAGGTGAATAGCAACTCCTCACCATTATTTTTCAGTATAGAAAGACCATCATGTAAGAAGCACAGAGCCTGTGAAATCATCACCATTGTAAAGATATTCATTCAAAAGCTTCATATTTATAAAGATTTAAGGAAGAACTGAAGATAAACGTGGCAAATTTTTCATGATCTGTTTTTTGTGTAATCTCTGGTAATTGGTAAAGCAAAGATATAGTTTGTAACACAGAGAGCAGAAAGAACTTCTGGAATTCCATGGGCAGGTCACATTATCAGCCCAGTGCTGACTTCCAGAATGAGTCCCTTCTGGAAGGAAGCTTACTCTGATATATTGGACTCTCTGAGATATATATATAAGAGTGAGTGCCAAGGGGACTCCTCAGTCCTGACTGAGAGCCCTTGTTTTCTGGGAGATTTTCTTTGCTACACTGTATGAATGGCTAGAAAAAATGAAAAGCCGTATTCTAATTTACATCCGGCCGTCAGCTGACAGTTACTGATCAAGAACATGCTAGGCCTATTTGTCTCAGCATTCTATCAGGTAATCCTCCTAACAATATGGAGCGTAAATAGCACAGGGCTCTTATTGATGGTGTTGTGTTGGTGGTAAGCTACGTTTCACCCTCAGTCATGCCTGCCTTCTAAAAGGTCACCAAAGGTATATATAATCCAAAGAAGGAAAACTGCCGTTCACTATTAAGTGGGATCCTGTATTCAGAGGCCTTTGGAAATGTCAATAAATGAGTCTGCAATCTGTAGAGAGTTCTTTCACTAAGTTTAGCTGCCTGTCAGTACATCCAAACCCACAGCTGAATGTCAGAGAGTGGCTAGTGCTTTATGAGAAAAGGATACTGAGGAGGAGTTGCCCACAACAGAGGAAAGAAGGGACAAGAGAGGCAGTGTGTCTCTCTGCCAGGTACCCAGCTGAGTAAGCCATTGTCCTTAGAGAGTGAAATGGCCTTAGGCTGGACTTTTTGGAAAGACTATGGACTATTATGGAAAGGAGGGGATCAGACAAGGAGAGGAAACCAAAGAGAAAGCCAGCAAGCTCTGGCCACCCTGAGAGCTAACTCACAGCTCTCCCAGCTCCTGTGGGAAGAATAGGAAGACAGGGAACGTTTGCCCAGCCTCCTTTGCTCCACTCAGAAAACATACCCCAAAAGATGTTTTCAGAAACTCACCAGTTCTTTTCATTGACCTTAGTTTAAGAAGAAAAGAAAGAAGATAGATCTGTTTCCAAAAGGGCAATGTAGGGATCATGGTCTCACCATTGCAGCTAAGAGACTAACCTCATCATGGTCACCCTTCGTAAAATTGCAGAATCTAGATTCAGACCCAGGGTTGTCAGGCTCCAAAGCCACCTCCCCACACACACGCAGGCTGCATCACCTCCCCCTCCTTATTTTAAGGTCATCTGGTGACAGGTGTCGAGAAGGACATTTTAAACCAGTTGAGATTTAGGTAGGATGCCTTTATCCACTTTAATATAGCAGAATTAGAAGTTTAGTTCTAAGAACAAGTAGTGAGTCTGTAGATTAGAAGGCCAAAGAGCAAAAGTAAGGAAATCTAACCCATACCAGTCCCTCCTTTGCCCTGCCTCATGGAGAGTGGGGCGTTTGCCATGAACTGGGCTTTTCTTTCTTAGAGCTCAACCCCATTGACATAACAAGATGCATTTTGCCCTGCCCATTCTCGATGTGTTATGCTTTGTGTGTGCTGCATGCTGTCTTCTTGTGGGTGGTGCACTGAGCAGAATCACTGTAAGCACTAGCCACTGTACGTGCTGCAGAAGTTCCTGGGGTTGTCAGGCTGTTTGCTAGAGCACATACACAACTGCCATCTCTCACTGACAGGATGCCCCGTTCCGCTTCATCTCATTCTTCTTTCATTTCTCTACATAAGCCACCCTTTCTCTCTAGTCGTTTTTTTATTTGAAGAGGAAAGTATGGACAGATAGTCTGACTGATTTGAATTGCTCATAAATAGTGCTTAAAAGTGGTCAGCAATGGTTCTTACGGAGCCAGATACATCATTCTGGTGCAGGTGGATTTGAGTACAGGAGGGTCATCTAACTTAAGAAAAGAAGTGTGTGGACTTTGGACTTGGAGAAATCTGGATTCAAATGTTTAACGCCTAAGAGCTTCAGCTTTCACATTTAGAGAGTTCTGGTCCAGAGTGAGCTTTCAGCAGAGCTTGGGTTCTTCATCACCCTCCTCCTCATGCTAACATTTTGATGGGTTTCTGCATGGGTCTTAGCTGCATTCAGTTTGGGCCGTGGCCAGATAAGTATAGCATTTATAAGCAAACACCTACTGATATCTTGCTTAGAACTATTTAGTTATTGATTAAATTTATCCTTCTACTACTCGGGCCAAAATTTTGAGCATGAACAGCTATTTTAACTTTTTGAGGGAGGAGTGGCTCATATATAGGCAGATGATACTATGGAGGCAAGAAATAGCTTCACTTAAAAAGAATGACTGAAATTATCCTCCCAGAACACTGGGGGAAACGATGGTCTGTATATATATGATCTCTTGACACAAATTGGCACCTGTCACTGTCATCCCCAAAATGGAACTGTTACATCTGATGGAAGCCAAGCCTCGGGCAAGGGAACAACTGTCAGTGCTGTCTCAAGAATGCCCAGGCACATATAATCCTTGTGCATTATTTCTGTCCATCCACATGTCCATTGGATCTCGTTAATACATTGCCATCTACTTAAGTTCTGATATGAAAGAAGAGAGCTTCTTACCCAGCATGGACAAGCAGAATCGGGGCGTGCATCACCGGAGCCCATGTTCCATAGAACTAGCAGACATGTGCCTCTGTGTGTATGCATAGATGCATGTAGGCATGCTCACTTGCCGTAAATAAATATGGAAATCTACACACATATATTTGCATAAAATATAACACTGTATTCTGGGGAGGATTTTCTTATTTTCTCATTAGAAAGCTGAGGCACCCTTCAACTTAATGACAAAGTGGTCATCATCCTGAACATGCTGTAATGAAATCACCTGGCTAGCTGACCCTTTTCCACCCAACTTCTTTTTCGTTTGGTTTTTGTTTATTTTATTTTGTATTGTGTGGGGGCAGAGGCACGTGTGTGTGGAGGTTAGAGAAAACTTCCAGGAAACAGTTCTCTCCTTCTGCCTTGTTTTTGAGACAGGATCTCTTGTTTCTGCAACTGCACTGAGCATGCTAGTGTCCTGTGGACTCTCTTGCCTCTGTCTCCCATCTCATCAGTGGAGTGCTGAAATTACAGATGTGAGCCACCACATCTAGCTTCTTAAAAAAATGTGTATGAGGGTTTTGCCTGCACGTATATAAATGTACCCATGTCATGCAGTGCCCACAGAAGCCAAAAGAGGGCATCAGATCCACTGGAACTGGAGTTCTGGATGGTTGTTAGCTACATGAGAGAGCTGGCAATCGAACCCAGGTCCTCTGCCAAAGCAGCCAGTGCTCTTAACCATTGAGCTACCTCTCCAGCCCCATATCTGACTTTTTTACATGGGTCCCAGGGTTGCCAGTAAGTGCTTTTTGTCCACTGGGCCATCTCTCCTGTCCTTCCACCCAACTTCTTCCTCTTGAAACTGTGCGCTTTTAAAGATTTATAGTATCTCTGGTATGATTCCACTATAAAAGTTCACGTACTTTTGATATATGTTATGTATATAATAAAATTATTATGAGTAATGTTTGTAAAGATGAATTTCTTGTAAATCAGACATAGATGCTAATTGCCTTTGTTATACTTTTTATCTTTATATTGAAGATTCAATGGGGGAATCTATGATCAATGACCATTAACTCTCCAT